GTCTCTTACTAATAATGCCAGCTACTCTCACGGTAAAAGTCTCCAGAAAAGAGGAAAGAGCAGGATTCGCTTGAACAGCCAGCAGAGAGGAATGCAGAAAACCAACAAAACCAAGAGGCGGGTGGTAGAAGAATCTGTAAGGAACAGGAACAATCAAGTCACTTTCTGTAAACAACTTTCTGCCCATACAGTTAATAGATTCTTTGACATGAACCAACATTTTGCATACAGAAGATAAAAATAAAACCTCAGTTGAAAATAGACAGCCAGAAACATTTGAAATTATTAAGGAAATTGAATTCTAAGTTAAGTTTTTCTTCAAAATAAACTCTATGCAAAAGTAGGTTTCATTGGTGAATTCTAGCAATATTTAGGAGACATATAGTAACATTTTAAACAATTTGTTTCACAAAATATAAGGACGAGTTCTCAATCCATTTCATGGGGACAGAATCGCCACAACAGCCTAACAAGGTAAGAAACAAAGGCTCAGTCTGTTCTATTTTCTGAACATAGGAGGAAGTATCCTCAGCAGACCACAGCAAACTGCACCCATCAGTACGTAGACAGGAAAGGGTATCACAACCAGCTAGGGTTTACCCAGAGGAGACTCTCTCAGAATAAAACAAAACAAAACTAAACCAGTAACAACAACAACAACAACGAAGAAGAAGCTTCTTTGCTGAGTAGTGAATAGCACACACTAGTCTGCAGGTATAAGGATCTCTATTTGGAACACAGCAAGAAAATAACATTCACCACTCATCAAAGAAGCTATTTTTTTGCATGAGATGGGGACTATCACAGAGTTATACAACTTGTCACATGGAAAGAATAACTGTCTGAGATATGCCCAGTGCTAAGTGACACATGTGCAATGGAGCCTGTGCACCAGAGGCTCATGGAACATGGTGGAACTGTGGGTAGAGAGAACACTAATACATATCTCCAGGGAAGCTTCTTCACACAACAGAGGGCAGTTAACACAGAAGGCCACAACTGGCCAAAGTGTAGAAAACAACAGACTGCAGAGTGAGCGTCCTGTACAGGACTCTTATATTAACCCTCATCCACCAAGGGCTCAGGGACCATTGCGGAAGAAGGCAGAAAGATTGTAAGAGATGGGATGACCTTATGGTGCATGACCATAAGGAAACAGAGCCTTCCAGGCTCCTGGGAACTTGCTCATAGGAACTCACAGCAATGCACAAGACCCGTGGAAAGTCAAATACACATGGCTGGAGAGGTCATAGATCTTAGAGAACACCCTAAGGCTGTCAAATCCCTAGACAAATATAATTTCTTACTATGTGCTAAATATAGATTCTTCTATTTACAGACAAGTATGTCAGTTACCACCCTTCAGAGAAGCTTCTTTTGCAATAGATGGCGACTATAACAGAGTTCCACAATTGGTCATACACAGAGAATAAGTGTCTGTGAAATGACCAACCCTAAATGACACATCTACAATGGAACCTCTACATCTACAGCTCATGGAACACAGTGGAACAAGGGGTAGAGAGAACACTAATGCATCTCTCAACTCTCATCAACAAAGTTCCCACATGAATCAGAGGACAATGAACATGAAAGACCACAAATGGTCAAGGCATAGAGAATAAGTCTGCAGAGTGGGGGTCTTTGGACGGGACTTCTTTGTTAAACTTTACCCACCCGGGGCTCAGGGATCATTGTGAAGGGGGCGGATTGTAAGAGCCGGGGGGAAGGTGTGTATGTCCCAGGAGTCCCATAGGCTCCTGGGACCTCGCTCATATGAATCTACAGTAATGGTGTCAGCATACACAAGACCCATGCAAGCTCAAGCAGTCAAAAACTCAGGATAGAACTAAGGAAATGAGCAGCAGGCCCCACCCTTAGCTGAAGAAATACTGGCAGCTGATTACTACTGGGTAAGGGAGAGGTGATGTTCTTTAAGGGAGTGATGCTAGACAGGCTGGCTAGCCTCCATGTGATGAACTTGCACCAAGGGGAAGCTGGGTACATAAACTTGCCTCAATAGGCCTTAATGTATGTGACAGAATGCATTAAATTTGGTGGAGAGGTATGGGAGGGTGTGGATGGAAGAGGTGGTCTAAATATGATTAAGATGTATTATATGAAATGCACAAAAATTCAATGAAAATACACATTGAGAAAAAAACAACAACAAACAAAAACAAAGGATAAGCCATTGATGGGAGAAACATATTTACAAGTTAACTGACATAAATATTATCCAAAATATCTGCTGAAAACTTTTAAACTATAACAAGAAAAAAAGAATTTAATTAGTCCAATTAATTTTACAAAAGATTTGAGGATCTCATTTGATTACATATTTCACAAATAACACATCAAAAGATAGTAAGCATCACCAGTCATTGGGGAACTATAAATTAAAATCATAATAATGTACCATTACATGGCTATTAAGATAGCTATAAAAAGAAGAAAAATACGCCATGTACTAACAGTTTTTAGTGAAAACATGAAACCACTCAAACACATAATAGTAAGACGATAAAATCACTTTCTTAGTCAATTTCACAGTTTCTTGTGTTCAGCAACGCAACGATTTTATTCTACACACCGGTGACTTTGGTTCTAGAGTACTTTCTAAACATCTCTCTTTGGTTATGTTTTTCTCTCATGTCTTCTCTTTAATGGAACGGTGATCAATCCTGTATCTCCAGAGACTAATTTTCTTAGCTTTCCCCTCTGCTTTCCATTTAGCATCTTTGGCATATGGCATTTTCAGAGACATTCTCTCACATTTTCTTCTAGCGTTTCAACTCAGTTTTCAAACTTCTACTAGTCTGGAAGTCTTTCCTGCCCTCTTTAATCGTCCCTTTTTTCTAGCATCCTGTTTCCGTCTCGTGACGACGGACCTCCTTTTCTTAGAGGTCATAATTATTTTCCTCACATACATTGTTTCTGAGTCTATTAAGTCATTTTCTGTGTTTACCTTGTCTTTTTACTTTTTCAGCTTTGAGAGTGTGCTGGCTCGAAGCTTCACAGATTTCATCCACCACTAAATGCTGTTGCTCGCACTTCCCTACTGGGTACCTGTGGGAAATGACTATGTTTTCCTGTTGGAAGATTCCATATTTTATTATCTGGATGTATTTACATTGTAATATTTATTCTTTTCCAGAAAAAATTCCATATAAAAATTTCCTATAAGGAGGCTTTTCTGATTGACTACTAGATTCGGAGAGCTGAGTTGGGAAGCACAGCCAAGGGGCTCTATGCTCAGGATATAGTCTTTATCATTTTTTAACCTCAACCTCCCCACCTCTTCATGGTCCCTTATGTCTCTAAGTGCTCAGCTGCTAAGATTCTGTGCTGGAAAATTTGCTTGTTTCATGTCGTTCTTTCCTTCTGCCAAACAATACACTTCACGAACCATCGTAAATCATTTGTTTATAATGCTGCCTCCAGCCTTGTGTGTAGGTCTGCCTGGTGCTGCTGTCTCCTGCCTCGCTTTGCTGCTGTGATCCTCTGAATGGTAGAGCATTGATTTCTTACATGTAGGTCTATGCAATCTTTAGCTACAACCATCCCCCCTCTCATCATCTGTAATAATCTTCTTAAAGGAAAGAAATCATAGAGACCCAGACATACTCATTCAACTTTTCATAAAGCTTAGAGATTATTCTTAACTGGATGTAAATATGTTTGATGATGGAATAAAGGTCTGGTTCCCATTCAACTTGAATACATGGTAGGCACATTTCCTTGGTGAGGTGAGGATGGTCCTCTGAAGGGACTGTTAATCAGAACATCAAAATTTAGTTCAGAGTTTATTGTTTGAGGGGGTGGAAAGATTATAAGTGGCAGGGAGGAGGTGCATGACCTTATGGAAACAGTCTTTCAGGCTGTTTGGACCTTGCTCACAGGAACCTACAGCAATGGTGTCAGCACACACAAGACCCATGCAAACTCAAGCAGACAAAAATCCAGCACAGAACTGTGGAAATGGACAGCAGGCCCCAATCTTAGCCAGAGAACTATTGGCAGCTGATTACTGCTGGGTAAGGAAGAGCTGATCTTCTTAAAGGGAGGGACTCTAGATAGGCTGACTATAGACCCCAGTCAACGAACCTGTATTAAGGGACGTCTGGGGACACTAACTTGCCTCCACAGGCCTTCACACAAATGACAGAATGCATGAAATCCATTGGAGGGCTACAGGAGGGGAGGGTGCAGATGGGGGAGGGGGTATAAAGAGAAATAAGATGTTTTGTATGAAATATAAAAAGCTCATTAAAAATAGACACAAAACCAGAAGCTGCACTCAAGTAGTTAAGATACAATTCTCAACAGGACCAGGGAACGATCTAGCCACTTGTGGAGGTAGAAGAGTGAGTGCATCAGATTCCCTGGAACTGCAGTTACACATGGTTCTGAGTTGCCAAGAGGGTGCTGGTAACTGAACCCCAGTCCTTTGCAAGAGTACTCTGCTCTTAACTGCTGAGTCATCCCTCCGGTCTCTACAGTGAATTATTAGAACTTGCTTTTAAACTATGGTCATTTTTCAGCAAGAAAAGGCTGCAGAAAGGGGTTCTACTCAGAATCTGATAGAATTGGTAAACAGTTAATAATGTTTAAATATCTGAACAATATTTTTAGTTTTAGGGTAATCTGAAATAAGTAAATTCAACTTTCTCCAAGGGATTCAGTTAGACAGTAGTTTGCTATTTCTACTGCATTTTACTTCACAAAAGAAGTCATGACGATACACACTGAAGTAAGGAGGCTCCTGTGCATTTAAAGATCTGTTTGCAGGTTACCAGAGCAGACACACAATCAGGGAATCGTACGCCACTATTTTGGACGTGCGGCAAAGTTACCTGGGAAATGTGACAAATTTGATTATACATCCATACTTATAGCAAATTTTACGTGAGATTTTCATGGCTGAAATGACACTTGATGTTTATTTCTATTTCTTAAAGTCCGGAGTTGTTTAGATTGATTAATAAAAAGTTAGGTACCTTGAAGCGATGCCGTGGATTCCGGGTGTTGGACTATCACTTGGAGTGTCTTCCATGGTGCTGATTTGGCTTCGACCGCTTTTCACACAGGCACACTTCGTGCAGACTTGAACCTGTAAACAGGAGTTTGGAAAGGAATAAACCCAATCATCTTCAAAGTACAGACTGACGACAGTCTGAGGCCTCCTTTCCCTGCCTCACGTGAATCTATTTTAGATCTCTGTAGCCACTTGGGGCTTAGTAAGTATTCATTTTTTAACGTGAATTGAGTCCAGTGGGATGAGCTCAGAACAGAGTGAGGACTAGGGCTCAGGACAGCTGATTTAGTGATTAGCATCTGGCCTCTGGTTCTGACCATTCAGAAAGAGAAGACTTATTAATCTATACAAAGCAGCCAAAGAGCGGATGATGCTCGGGTGGCAGTTTGCAAGGATGATGAGTCACCCTGCAGCTGTCCTCCAGACCCATAACCAAGTGGTGTAACAGGGTTGCTGTCTGGACATCCTGATGCTCTGCAACAAACAGCCCAAACTAATGTCTAACGGGAGAAAACTGCAGCAGGGCTGACCATTTTATAGTCACTTGTTCCAGCTGCAGTACCTTCCCCTTAATCACAGAAGAAAATCATCACTCACCTTTAATTCAAGGCACCTAGCTTGAATAAAATCGCAGCAGGTGGAAGAATGAAGGATTTGACATGGGGCTCATTGAACATCCCATAACCCCAAAGGAGTGGGTATAGCAAAAGCGAGACTAATAAATACCCAGGAGACGGCCGGTGAGCCGCCACTACAGCACATCACCATGCTCACCGTTAAAGGCAAACTGGAGCTGTAGTTTTTCCTTTTCTTTTTATTTTATGTGTATATGTATATGCCTGAGTATATATACATGTGAGCTGACATGTGTGTGGGTGCCTGTAGAAGCCAGAAGAGGGCATCACACATTTGTAACTGGAGTTAGGCAGGTGGTTGTGAGCCACATGGTGTGGGTGTTAGGAATTGAATCTGGGTCCCTTGCAAAAATAGTAAAGTGCTCTTAACTGATGAGCCGCCTCTCTAGTCCCTGAACTGTAATTTTTCTTTTGTAAAGGTTTATTTGTTTTTAATCTTACCTGTATGTGTCTGAGTGCATGTGTGTGCACCACCTGCACACAGGTGCTGTGGGGGCTGGAAGATGTGTCAGATCTCTTGAAAATGTAGTTACAGGTGGTTGTAAGATGCCTATCTGGGTGTTGGGAATTGAACCCGAATCCCCTGCAAGAGCAGCAAAAGCTCTTAACTATGGAACTGTGTTTCCATCCCTGAACTGTACTTGTTTCAACGATAATTTACTTTCAGTGTCTACTACATAAAGAAAGAGGAAATCTAGATAGTGATGATTCTTGAACCTCCATGCTGGGCTTTTAAGCACAGTAGTTCTGATTCTCCCCATTGGAAATTGGAGAAAGGTGACAACTCACAGTGTATTTAGTAGACAAGTCATTTTCCTTCTAGGGCTGTTGCATCTTAATGGGAACTGATCCTGTGTTTATAACCAGATTCAGCTCTATTTATTAATGCAATACTGTCTTTTGTGGTAATACTTAGTAGGTTTAAACATGATCAAGATCCTCCACTCTGAATAAGTAACAATCAAGTCAGAAATAACTTTAAAGCAGAGTAATTTAAAATACAATACGGTGATAGAATTAATGACATAAACTTTATGTATGTTGGAAAATAAGGGTCTCTCATACACAATGAGATTAACTTGAGTCAACTCAAGTTATGTGTTTAATATGTGCCCAGTGACATGATGGGAACTTGATCAAATACTTTTGTAATTTTTTATTGATGTGCAATAATTATTCAGTTTATAGGGTGAAGTATGGTATTTTAACACATGTCTGCAGCACAAAATGAACAAGTCAGGGTAGGTAGCATTGTCCTGTGTCTTTACGCTTAGAGCCCTTGAGCTCCCACCTTCCTGGTTACTCATCGATATGTAAATGGCCGTTGTGAGTCCTCACCGCCCTCTGCTCAGGGCACTAGGACTTGTTCCTACCAGTCGTGTTTTGGTAGCTTCTCTCCAATCTTCATCTCCTCAACTCTCACCATCGCCAGCCCCAGTAATGGCCATAAAACATGCAGAGCAATTACTCTTCAGGTTGTACGAATGTTGAGTATGAGGTGGTTTCACGCCTACGTTTTAACACATCTATAAATTGGGAGGCAGTAAGCTGGTCAGAGGTCTGATACTTGATCTGGGCTTTCCTACGTATCTTGTCCCTTTCCCACCTAAATACTACACAGAGTTTTAAGCTCTCAACTTCCGGGGCCTATTTATGTTACTCCTAAAGTTTTTGACTTTAGGAAAGTATACCAGTGTGTTTTCATTCTTAATGCAATGTTGCTAGTGTGTTTCAGGATGTATTTCTTGTGCTTATATACTATACAGTATGCGATGGACATATAAATGTAAGGGTTGACCTGAAAAGGAGTTTTCCTTTCAACGGGGTGATATGAAAGGACTGATTCAAGGAGGTACCTGGGTAAGTAATCTGCTACAAAAACAGTTGTTATTTTATAGATGAACCTAGAGAAGTTTAATTCTAAATATTACGCACAACCATTGAATGATGATTTTAAATGGTATTTGACATCATAAGTCACTAAAATTTAATTAACATTCAAATTTCTGTCCACGCAGAACTATATCAAGTGTGACAATCCTATACTTTAAAGAGCTGCACAGATAGAAATTAAGAACACAAAGTGTTCAGTTCCATTTGGACCTTTTGTCTCTTTGTTCTCATGACCTTAGTCTGATACAGACATGCTACTTCAGACCACCACTGTCCAATCCAGCAGTGTGAGCGAAGGCTCTCGTGTCAGAGGACGCAGGGGCATTTGATGGACAGCTCCTGCTCTACTCAAAAGGCTGAGTGGCACTCAAAGCCAGACTCTTCTCAACACCAGCCTGCAATCTGCAGTCACTCTGTTTTTAAAGATTTATTTCATTATTTGTGTCTGTGTGTGTGTGTGCGTGTGTGTGCGTGTGTGTGTCTGTGTGTGTCTGTGTGTGTCTGTGTGTGTGTGCGTGTGTGTGTGTGTGTCTGTGTGTGTCTGTGTGTGTGTGTGTGCATGTGTGTGTCTGTGTGTGTCTGTGTGTGTCTGTGTCTCTGTGAGTGTATGTGTGTCTGGGCAGGGTACAGAGGTCAGTATGGGGTGTCGTCTCCCAGAGCTGTAGTTAAAGATGTTTGCAGGGCACCTGGCTAGTTATGCGCATCCTGGGATCCAAACTCTAGTCCTCATGATTACCTACAAGTGCTATAAACTGCTGAACCTTTTCGCCAGTTCCACACTGAGTCTTGATAAGGCAAAAGCATACAGGTCTTTGTCAGAGCTCAGTCTGTTCTTCCAGCAGGGACCCAAAGAGAACAATACAAAACCGGGTATCACTGTCCTGTGCTAGCTCTATTCACAAAGCTACAGTTAAGTCTAGTTATCGTGCATGGTTTTCATTTTCTTAATTCTAAGAAGTGTGACCACAACAGCAGCCTACACATTCCATGTGAAGATGGATCATATGGGTTAATGGAAATCACAGTACAATGAAAAGGGATCTACGGAGCTTTCTTCACGACTCAGCTCTTGTTTTATTTGGATCTTAAGAAGCTAACCCTATGGGTCTCATCTGAGAAGGCGGAAATGGTATAGCCAGAGAGCAGCCTGGGCCTGTCTCAGATGCGGACAGAAGAGGAGATGTGACATGAAGAGACCTAACACCACCAACCGAAAGTTTCTAGACAAAATTCTTGCATTTAATATTTCCCAGAAATCATTCATAAAGCTCTCATGATTCTCAGATGCGGACAGATCGAGGAGATGTGACATGAAGAGACCTAACACCACCAACCGAAAGTTTCTAGAGTCAAAATTCTTGCATTTAATATTTCCCAGAAATCATTCATAAAGCTCTCATGAATTTTAGAATTTGCATAAAGTGTTTAAGAATTTACTGAATTGCAGACCTCGTCTGTGAACGCTGACACTTGGAAATGCTGCTTCCTGCCTGCTTTGGCCTTGTTATCTCTGGTAGCCCGACATTCTAACGAGATTTCCAATTTCTTGAGGATAAGATCCGTGCTTCACGTACTTTAGTAGTTCCTGTGCTTTTTCTCTACTTTTAAAGTCAGTAGACCCTGAAGAGGTCTGTGAGCTGGGCTCCAGGTGGTCAATGCATTCTCTGGACTGCGTGCTAAATGTTGCCATGCAAGAGCAAAAGTATTTTTCTGGGGCAGCACACACCGGCTTGTAGGAGTCTCACAGAGCTCCAAGGACAAAAATATTTAAATGCAGCCACCTTACACAGGTGGGACCGTGGAGTGTTTGTTAAATGATGAGGGGATGCTTTCCTTCCCTCCTCAGCTAAAATCCTCTAGTAGTTTTTGTTTGCTGCATTTTAATTGATGTTTTCCTACTGCATTTGGAATCAGAAATGCTGTGGAGGACAGAATATTTTACATCTTTTACACCACAGCCTTAACAAGAGAAAACTGACACCCAGCGACTTATGCCATTTTCTTAAATGGGTAGTAACAGAAAAAAGAATGGAAAGAAAAACCTCTAGATGTACAAGCTAACTCTGATTTCGATACCAATAAGAGGGTGGGAAAAGGACAAGCTAGCATGATTTGGGGGGGGGGCGGTGGTGACGGTGTGGTTTGACTAGCTTCATTTTGCCAATGAGAATCTTCCCATCTTCCTTCTCAGCACGTTGTTTCAAGAGCCCATCTCCAGGGATTCAAGTCTGCCCAAAGCAAACAGCTTTCATTCTGATCAAGTCCCTCTTCTCTCTCCCCTTTCCCACCAAATAAATAATCTGTAACCAGGACAGAGTGCCTCCACTCAGGGACATAGCTTGACATGTTTTATTTAGCATATCCACAAGCTCAGGCATCAAAAGAAGAAACTAAACAGTGCTCTAACCTGAATGTCACAGATAGTGAAGGGAGACAGGCCTCTCACAGTAAACGACCCCGGTGCATCCATTCCAGCCTTGTAGAGCTTATTTACATAGACAGAATAGATGCTGCTTGAGTTTGAAGGAGATGTCCAGATGACTTGTACAGCTGTACTGTTGATGGCCCCACCCTCTGGAGAAAGCATGCCCCGAGGCTCTAGAATTAAAAGAAGGGACTGAATAAACTCCAGCTGTCTCTGCAAAGGCACTTGTTAAACTGAATGCAGATTGGTGTTTAGGTTTAGCAAAAGCTTCCTTGCTTATCTGAACTCTTCTGATGAAGCCATCACAGTCTGAGGTCCTTCGTAAATTGGGTTATTATAGTCTCAGTTAGAGACCATGAGAATCGGTGGCAAAATGCTTCATGCCACCAGCCTAGTGCTAATCTTCAATACTATGTGACCAGTGGGATATAAATGATAAATTATTCACCCATCTGCACCTCTAACACATATCTATTTCTTGTCTTTTTTTTTTTTTTCCACGCTCTCACTTTATACTTCCTAGGTGGAGGTTGGGGTAGAAAGAAAGAGAATTTGCTCCTTAAGCGAAAAGAAAAAAAAAAAAAAAAATTCAAATACATCAAGGCCGGTGGAATGTGAAAAATCATTTGATGTTACTAGCTTGTAACTCAAGCAATATGAAGTAATAATGCAATATTGTCATTATGTAAATGATTCTGAATGTTGATTACCATAGGTAATGATGAAATCTAACATTAGAAAAAAAATCTTGCTTAGCGTTAAATTACACAATTATTCAAGCATGTCAGAAATAACTATGCAAAGGCCTATTTTTATCATAAGAACCCATCTTAACTAGTTGAATAATTGTCCTTGTGATTCATCCTATTTTATAAACAAAAGGTGCAGACCTTTGGCACCACAAAGGGAAATCGGTTCCACACTTAAAGAGCTCTGCTAATGACCTGGAACCCTTGCTTGGGAGGTAATGATATTATAATGTTTATAATGAGACCATAGAAAGCCAAAAAGATTAGAAAGACCATTCCAAATACATTTCAGATGCACAAGTTGCTTCTCTGGCTCACTCTCCCTTGCTAACTGGCGTAGAAATGAGACATAGGCAATTTTTCTCAGAGGCTGAACTTCCACCCACCATTTTTGGTGACTCAGGGAGGGCTCTCTCCCCCGTGCTGGGCTGTCATTTCGAAAAGTATAATGCTTCTTAGGGCTAACCTTAAAAAATGTTTCTAAATGTCACCTTTTATTGATGTGCAGTCGCTCCGAACTAAGCCTGCGCTGAAAAGAACAGAGAACTGGGCTGACATCCCAGCGTTAGCAGCACATGCTGCTGTTTCAGTGGAACCACTGCATCGATCTGCCACCTGACAACAGCAGGCACTCAAGCATTTGAGCCCCAGCCCCCTTCCTTTCAACATCAGAAACTTCGTAATGGAGGGATGAGCGATCTTAACCCCAGAAAGGACCGATCAATAGCACAGGCATCTCCAAAGCCGAGTACCTCTTGGAACCCTCACTCACCCCCATCACGAGTGGTCACACACACTACCGTGCTGTTGACTCTGAAGACTCCATTGAAGACAGAGAGAAAAATCCGATACTGTGTATGTGGAGTTAAGTGGCCAATGACGTGACGGTCTACTTCTGGGAGGGTTTTCAGAGATTCATTTGAGGTCGGAGAATTCCAAAACAGTGTATAGTATTCAACGTTGCCTTGGAGGCCCTGAAAAGCTGTTGACAGTAAGTGCAGAACACAAAAATGTGGTCAATATAAAAGGTTCTCGGAGGGGATAAACAGAGAACACGTTCTCTCATCCCCAGGCTCTAGAATTAAGCAGAAGCAGGGCTGCTGGAAACTCAGCTTTCCAAAAGGTTCAGGAACCTCCTTTGTGGAGAAGCTGGTAGAGTTAGATTTTATTTAGTTGACAAATTTTATTTTTCCCTTTACTCTATAATTAATTGCATAAATCATATAGAACATATACTTTAAATTTTCCTTTAACTATTCTAATTATGCTATCTATAATTACTCAAATAGTCTTAAAGGAGTTGATATAACATTCTGTAAAAGTGTTTGGTGTGTAAGATACAGATTTGGGAATTTTCATGTGTGAAAGAAAGTTCCCAGAAAGAACATCGGTATCCTGAGCTGAATTTCCTGCTGAAATTTCCTGACCAACTGATAAAGACTTCAATGACTGTGGAGCATTTGGAAAGTTGCAGATCCAGAGCCTGTTCACAAATCATCTGGGGACATCTTTAACTCCATAAATAGCCACACTTTGCCTACCTCTGTTTCTGAATTAACATTCTTGTGACTTAACTTAGCAGACCACCAGGTCTCACCAGTCAAAAAGCTAAGAATGTCATCAGATAGCATCAGAGACCTATAGTAGAACCCCCCACATTGCTATGACCCGCCTACCGGATATATCCACCATGTATTTGAAAGGTGTCTTGATTTATGACTTTTCTTTGGTATCTTACTATAAAACCCTAATGTAACTGTTACCATGCGGGAACATGGAATTTGGGGTGACCTGAATCTGTGTTCCTGGGACATGGTCACTCATACTTGGCTCCAGAATAAACTATCTCTTAACCCCTTTGAGGTAAGAGTTGTACTTTTACATTGACACATGATTCTTTTAACAATTCCCTTACCTTAAGATCTTGGGGTTCATGCATACATAGTTTTAATTTTTATATTTCCCTAAGCATGATGTTGTTTTTACTTTATCATTAGCAATATTTTAAAAAGATGTGGTGTGTCAGTATAGTTGGAGCTGGAAAAGTTGATGTCAGGAGACTTAGTAAGGAAGTTGGCAAACCATGAGGATTAAGGTGCTTCTTTTCCTTGATGCTGCCGACCTTAAACATACTCACAATGAAGTCATTATTATTCACTCTCATAACCCCTCACGTTCCCTAAGCAATAACATCAGTCAAGTTCAAGGATGCCAGGTGGGTTGTTGGTGAGAAGGGTCTTTCTTGCATTAGAAATAGTTTTCATTGGCTTACAGTAGTACTACTCGCTAATTTGGGGCCCTTCCACTGTATAGAAGATGTGTGAAGTCTGAAGTTCATGCTGTTGGTAGCTTAAGTAAAGGCTACTTAGGAAGTCAAACTCTTGATATTAAGAGTCCTTCTAAATGGTCCTTACAAATACAAATAGATTTCACTTGTGTCAATGTGCCTCTATGAAGTCTAGTGAGCATACTTAGATATGTACATTACACATACAGGGACTTGTATCATGAGGTCGAGGTTGGCAGGGATCACATGTCAATGTCTGAATACAGTCACTTCATC